CGGTAGTTTAGTATCTTGACAAAATAACCAATTCTTTGTAGATAAAAATTAAATCATATTTGATTTGAAATAAAAGAAATTATTTCCCTAAATTTATAGGGCATGAAAATTTGAAATGATTCTCAATTACTTCGATATTGACAATTATTATTTAAAATACATATTTTAAAAAAACTTGCTATCTTCGTATATATTTCTCATTGGATAAAGCAGTTATCCATCAACATCATGATTAAATATTTTTAATCAATAATTTTTTTTTTAAATAATGGTTTAAATTTTGTCAATTTTTTTATATTATCTGATGGGTATATTATGTTCAGTGAGGCGGCTATTGAAGTTGCAAAAATGGTCATTTGTTATGATCTACAAGTGTGTGGAGAGTTCTACGCCAGAGAACTAACATCCGGAAAGAGGTATGAGGTGGTGTTTGTGGTGAAAGTAGAGGACACAATGTCAAGATTTGATATTCTCGCAAAGACGCAACTGATGGTACCTGAAAAAGAATTGCAAGAGCAGGAACTGCAGTTTGTTGATCTCATAAAAAATGAGTGGATTGAGATTCGGGTCGGAGCTTTCGTTGCAAGGCCGCATAAAGAGAAAATTGCTTTCTATTTGTACCAGGATGGATCTGAGCAAAAAATGACGGGGCTTCTGATTAAAAGTGCTATAATTCGTCTCATAAACTGAAGTAGTTCAAAACAATCAACCTGAAGCATATACAACAACTGAAAAAAATAATAATTGTTCTTAATTTATTCACCGTTTTATACATTATAAAATGTTTTGATAAATTTGTAAATATTTCAATTTCTAAATTTTATATAATCTGTCCAAAATTCAGGGGTTGGCGAAATTATTTAGATTTCCGGTCAAAGATATTTCGATTCGTCCCTTGAATTAATGCAGTAATGCACATAAGCAAAGCATTATTGGAGATTCCTATTTTTTTTTTCATTCTATTTCAGAAAGTTGTTAACTTTCTGAAACAATGTTGTGTCATTTTTTTAACACATGGTAAAAGGTGTGTAGTTTATTCTTGTTTTAACACATGGTTTGTCATTTTTTTTCTCTTGGGATACTTTTTTTTTTTGGTCAACAATGTTGGGATACTTCATTTGGTGTAAATTCTTACAAGTTGAACTTTTATGTTATTTTATTTGTTGGGATACTTCATTTGATCAGGATCCGCATAGTACGTGGATAATAAATTAATAATTGGTAATCCACAACAAAAAGTGGTGTAGTTTTTTGAGTTTGTCTTCACTCTTCAAACACCGAAAGCATATTCCAAACGGCTTGGTTTATACCCAACCCACATCTTAAGCTTAATCTAATATCATCCTACCACATGATATTCTCATACTTTAGTTCATTTCAATACGGTTTAATCAGACTTTCATTTCGCATTTTCATATCATTTAGGCATTCCTATGGCCATTTGCATCTTTTTCGTGTTTTTATAGGTTTAAAGATAGTAAATCTTAGAACAAAATGATTTGAAATTTAATTGGATGCAAAAAGATGAGAATTCAAGAGGTTATGAAAGCGGCACAAGTTATTAATAAAAAGAAGTCTAATTAGGTTGATCCTCGGTATGGATGTTCCGAGAACTAAACTTTCATGACCCGACCCAGATCAATAGATTGATCCGGTTCTGTGTTAGACCATTATAAATACAAATTTTAGCATGTAATGACCTAAGTTTTCTCCCCTCTAGAGTTGGATCTAGATCCAAACTCTCCTTTGATATTTTGGATTGATTTTCATCCCTTCATGCCACTTTAGAGAATA